CAGGAGGCTCGCTGAATGGATCATAAACCTGGTTTGGCCTGAAGATTACAGTGCACACTACAACTACATAGTGATGACAGATTATCTGAGTAGAAGTTGGGATGTCTGCAGCATCAGGCCGTGAAGTGGCAGCTGACCAGAGGGTGTGTGTGTATCTCCAAATTCTAACAGCAAAAATGAGGTAGTCTTGAATATGACATTCATTATAATGATAGTTTGTCTACATTGCCTGGAAGGTATTCAAAGTTCACTGCTTTCCTGAAGTAGGTGGAATTTTAACAGACATCTTGTATGCACCCATATCAGACAAAAAAATCAAACAGTAACATCATGATGTATGTTCACATTAAATGTACATTTCCTAGTTCATTATTTTATTGATATGAAATTAAAAGAGACTCATTTAATATTTCATTATGTCTATCAGTCTGAAGTGTCCCATGGTAAGTCAATATGTACAAATGCTTCCATCTAGTGTATGAGTATAGTTGTTACAAATATTGCTGATTGACTATTCAAAGTCAAAGTGTTTATTTGTCATATGCACAGTTAGGAAACGTGTTTCCCTGTACAATGAAATTCTTACTTTGCCATCCACATGAATGCCACAAAATACAAATGAATTATAAAGTAGATAAATAAGTAACACAAAATCTAAGGCACTTTAAGAAGCAAATGCAGCAATATAATAAAAATACATAAGATTATAATAAGAGAATGTATTCTGCATGGGAGCAGCATGTGCAGCAGTCAACAGTCAATGTGCAATTATGCATGTGCAAACTGAATGTAAACAGTACAGGTCGACAGTACATCACGTATTTCCTGGTAATAAACTCCAGTCAGCTGTTTAGGAGTCTCATGGCAGAGGGAAAGAAAGAGTTTTCAGTCTAGTGGTCCTACATTTCACACTTCTAAACCTCCGGCCAGAGGGTAGGAACAGTCCATGTTGGGGGTGGGTTCGATCTTTGAGGATGGAGGCAGCCTTCCTACGCACCCTGCGGTGGTAAATGCTCTGCAGAGAGGGCAGTGGAGTCCTGGTGATCTTCTC